AGGTGGTGTTGACAATATTCTTTAGCAATCTCTGTAAAGATACAGTAATCTCATATCGAAAAATAACGAACACTAATATTGATAATTAGTATATGTGATATTTCATATGCAGTTTTCAATGCTGAGTAGGAAAATAACTCTATAATAAATAAACTCTATCGAATGGTATATAAATGAGCCAGAAACAAACAAAAAAACACTGTATGAATGAATGATCTAATATACAAGTCTATTCTACGATATCAAAAAAAAAATTATCCAATACTGTCACTTTATAAAAGTGATTTATTTACAGACAAATAGAAAAACATCGTTCAATTTCTTATTAGCTATCTGCGTGCACTCACACGAATAATACATTAGTAATGGACGGATACACGCATTGATTTACCTCTAAAATGTTTTTAATTCACCGGAAAGGCCTGATTTATGCATTATTTGCCTGTACCATTGTTATTTATCCGAGATTTTTATCAGCATCTTTTCTTGTCACTAATCTGTTCTTGCAGTGATCACTGCACATTTCACTCATTGTGATTTCTTTTCGAAACTGATTGTAATAGCTTTCCCATTTTGTTTCTCTTGACTCCTACTTCAGACTACAAAAAAAGAGCACAATTTTGTGTGACTCTGCTGCTCAACATCTTCACGAATCGAAGCATTTAAATTATAAACCCATTATATTTCTGTTCGTTATGTTCATCCTGTATTTTTTGGCATAAATATGAAATTACTGCAGTCATCGATGAGTAATGGATGTGTCAATGGATTGTAACGATATTCAATATTATAATTATGTAATTTACCATCAACAACTATATCGTCAATTTCCTTTTCAGTCCAATAGTAATTTATTTTTTCTCTATTATATTCCATTAGATAATAACGTTCACGTTTCCAAACACATTTTTTTAATTGTGTTAAATTCATGTCGATTAATCTCCTCATTTCTTTATCATACGTTGTACCAAATCGAACATGAAATACTGTTTTATTTCCGTAAATAATAACATCAATAGTATTCTGATTTTTATCATATTGAACACTATTTTTAAATTGTTCACTCAAGCGTGTCATTTGTTCCGTATTTGGTTGATTAATTAAATTATTTAATTTTTCAAATTCATTAAAATTTTCTTTAATAAAATAATAATTATCATTATTATTATAGGAAAGTAAACGTGAATTATTCAATAAATTTGAGAAAAATGTATCAGTCATTGACAATAATAATGTTGATAAAGATACAAAATGAATTAAATTTTGATCATGTAATGTTAATGTTCGATTTATCCAAAATTCTTGATGATTAATGGCAATGGGATAAGTAAAATGATTCAGTTTTATG